AGTAGTAGCGGTAGTATCAGTAGTAGTATTATTGATACTACGAGTTCATAATATCAGTAGTAGTTGTAGTAGTGGTAGTAGTAGTAGTAGCGGTAGTAGTAGTAGTAGTAGTAGCAGCAGCAGTAGTAGTAGTAGTAGTAGCAGTAGTAGTGGTAGTAGTAGTAGTAGTAGTAGTAGTAGTAGTAGTAGTAGTAGTAGTAGTAGTAGTAGTAGTAGTAGTAATAATAGTAGTTGTAGTAGTAGTAGGAGGAGGAGTAATAGTAGTAGTAGTAGGAGTAGTCGGGGTAGTAGCAGTAGTAGTGTGTGTGTGTAAAAATATGATCACCGGTACGATTCGCAGTATGAACATTAATAAGCCTAGTTGTACTACTAGTACTAACATTGTTCGTAATAGTAATGGCTACAGTGTAAGTAGTCGCATTAAGAATCATATTACGTATATTAACAATACTACAATGACTACTCCTACCAAACTACTACGACTACTACGAATACCACTACTACTACTACTACTACTACTACTACTACTACTACTACTACTACTACTACTACTACTTCTACTTCTACTACGACGATTACTACTACTAATAATAATAATAATAATGATGATGATACCTACTACTACTACTACTACTACTACTACTACTACTACGCCTGCTATTACTACTACTACTACTACTGCTGCTACTACTACTACTAGCATACATGCTAGTAGTACTAATATTATTGGTATGAATGCGATTAGTATTCGTAGTAGTAGTAGTAGTAGTAGTAGTAGTAGTAGTAATAGTAGTAGTAGTAGTAGCCGCCGCAATATGAGCATTAATAGTTTTACTTCTATGCGCAGTACCATCATTGATGTTCACATTCGTCTTCTTACTGCTTGTACTATATTCATTGCTATCGATATCACTAGTATTAGTAATGTTAGTAGTACGATTAGTGTTACTATGAGTACTAAGTTTATCATTGCTAGTATTACAGGTCTTCTGGTTACTAGCATAATGATTAACAAGATCACTAACACTACTAATCATATGAATCGCAGTCTTATTTGTCTTACGGTTCTTCACTTTCATATTACCCTTCGTATTATTAATAGTGTTCCTCTTCTTCTGATCATTTTTATTAGTATTAATGAGATTCGTCGCTTGCTTATTATTTGGGGTATTATTGCTATTCCTCCTCCTCCTCCTCCTCTTCTGCCTCCTCATCCTCCTCCTCCCTCCTGCTCCTCCTCTTTACTTTTCGTCCTCTTATTCCTCCTCCAGACACAGACGATCAGAAAAGGAAGCATGGAAATTGGCGACAGTGGCTGGCACCCACGGAGACACAGGCCGACGAGTCTCAACGAACGGGAAGCCGTTACTAGAAAATACAAAAATGACGCCCTTCGAGGCACAGACGAAACACAGGCGGCCAGCACGCCTGGCACTGGAAGAGTGGAGTGGAAGTCTGCGTGCCAGCTCCAGTAACCGGAGCGGTCCCCTAGAAGGCAGACCGTGCGCTGAGCATGTCGGAATATGAACGTCGGCAACGAGCAAACGCAGGAAAATCGGAGGTTGGGGGGTGAGACCGACGTGAAACGGAGACCCCCCCTACCGGGAAATCGATTCCGGTTTCGGGTTCGTGTCGTGCGTGCCGTGCGTGCGTGCGTGCGGGCGAGGCGAAGCTGCGTGGGCGGGCGAGAGGAAATCCTCCTGTGGCTGGGCCGCGGCCGGACCAAATGATTCCCCCCCGGCGGCCGGCGGCCCGCGGTGTCCCGCCGGTGCCCCGCTGGTGTCCCGAAATCCTCCTATGGCTGGGCCGCGGCCAGACCAAATGATTCTCCTCCGGCGGCCGGTGGGCCGCGGTGTCCCGCTGGTGTCCTGTGGTGTCCCGTGGTGTCCTGTGGTGTCCCGTGGTGTCCCGTGGTGTCCCGTTGAGTGAGATCGATCGTGAGATCGATAGTGAGCTCGATTGTGAGATCGATGTGGTGCCCTGAGGTGTCCGGTGGTGTCCCGTGGTGTCCCGTTGAGTGAGATCGATAATGAGATCGATAGTGAGATCGACAGGTGTCATGTGGTGTCCCGTGGTGTCCCGTTGAGTGAGGAGTGAGATCGAAAGTGAGATCGATACTTAGGTCGATGTGGTGTCCCGAGGTGTCCCGTGGTGTCCCGAGGTGTCCCGCTGAGTGAGATCGATAGTGAGATCGATAGTGAAATCGACAGGTGTCCCGAGGTCCCGTTGAGTGAGATCGATAGTGAGATCGATCGTGCGATCGATAGTGAGATCGATGTGGTGTCCCGAGGTGTCCCGTGGTGTCCTATGGTGTCCCGCGGAGTAAGATCGATAGTGAGATCGATAGTGAGACCGATAGTGAGATAGAGAGGTGTCCCGCGGTGTCCCGTGGTGGCCCGTGGTGTCCCGTGGTGTCCCGTTGAGTGAAATCGAGAGTGAGATCGATAGTGAGATCGACAAGTGTCCCGTGGTGTCCCGTGGTGTCCCGTTGAGTGAGATCGATAGTGAGATCGATTGAGTCAGATGTTGGTTTCCCCCCTCTCCCCCCCACACAACCTCCTTATCACCCGAAGGGTGGTCGTATACGTACGATTAATAAATCCTCTGGTGTGCAGGTTTGCAGTCAGAGAATCCCAGCCCGCACTGGACGCGGGAGAAACAGCAGGTCCGAAAAACAACTTCGTCTACAGATTCTCCACGACGGCAATTCGGCCCGGGAGGAAATGGCCCTCCGCCGACGAGCGAAGCACGCGGAGTCAAAAGTCTGGCGCGACCCGAAACGAATACGCGGAATCCACGGCAGGTCCGAAGGACAACTGCGCGAAACGATAAGCTGGGTATGTGGGAGAAACAGCAGGTCCGAAGGACAACTGCTTCTAACAATCTTCCAGGCGGATTATTCGGTCTGGGTGGATTCGGCTTCCCTCCGACGCAAAATTCGCGCGGAGTCAAAAGCCTGGCGTGACCGACACGAATAAGCGGAGTCCACTGCAGGTCCGAAAGACAACTACGTAAAACAATCAGCTGGGTGTGTGGGAGAAACAGCAGGTCCGGAGGACAACTGCGCCTAACAATCTTCCAGGCGGAGGATGGCGAGGTCTGTTTGGGATATCTTGGGTCTGCGTGGGACACCGTTGTGCTGCCCCCACAGCAGCCTTCGAAACTGGCGACCGTTTCACACTCCGCAGCCCCCCCAGGGATGGCGAGGTCTTTTGGGAGCCTGCGTGAGACCTCGCTGTGCTGCCCCCCAAACAGCCCTCGGAACTGGCGACAGTTTCGCACTCCGCAGCCTTCCAGGGACGTCGAGGTCTTCTTTGGGTCCGTGTGTGTGACCCCCCTGTGTTGGCTCCCCCAGCAGCCCTCAGAAGAGGCAACAGTTCGCGCTTCGCAGCCCGCCCAGGGATGACGAGGTCTTTGTTGGGTCTGCGTGGGGCCCCACTGTACTGGCTCCCCCAGCAACCCTCGAAAGTGGCGACAGTTTCACACTTCGCAGCCCACCCAGGGATGGCGAGGTCTTTTCGGGGTCTGCGTGGGACCCCGCTGTGCTGGCCCCCCTAGCAGCCCTGAAAAGTGGCGGCAGTTTCGCACTTCGCAGCACCCCCAGAGATGGCGAAGTCTTTTTGGGATCCGCGTGGGACCCCACTGTGCTGGCTCTCCCCCAGTAGCCCTCAAACGTGGCGACAGTTTCATACCTCGCAGCATTCCAGGGATGGCGAGGTATTTGTTTGGGTCTGCGTGGGACCCCACTGTGTCGGCTCCCCCAGGGATCCAGCACTGTGCTGCCCACCCACCCCAGCAGCCCTCAAAAGTGGCGACGGTTTCACACGACGATAGGGCAGGAAGTATGCAAACAGGCAGGAGTAAACAGGCAACAGACCAGAGGAGAAGGGAGAGGGAAGGCGAGAGGAGAAGGAGGAGGAGGAGGACAAGAAGGTGGAAACCAAACTGCTCTACTCAAATCGAGAACCCAGCCAAGGGAGGGTTGGGAAAGAAATGTTCATAGCTCCATGGATTGAGGGCGGTTCCTTTCAAAATGTGGCTCTCGCCTTAGCGCCGCACACATTCGGTTTAGAAATGTGCACGAGGTTCACGCACCCTCATGGTTAATGTACCAGAAAATGTGCTGGAACGGCTCAGGATTGTCAGGGCGCAAGGGTTACGTTGATTCGCTGTGTCAAAGTCCCAGGAATGGTGCTCTGGCACGACTTCGGATCATCGAGACGCAACATTCAGGTTGATGCGTGGCGTTGAAGTCTGGAGAATGGCATTTCCGCACGCCTCAGGATTTTCAAACGGCTGTCTCCCAGCGGGGCACTTCCATCAGTGGAAATGAACCCGTGTAGGGGGCCTAGAAAGAGGGAGCTTCGAGGGAGGGCTTATTCAAAAACTCGTTGATGCGTCTAGGAGCTGCACTGGTCATCCTCCTCCTCCTCCACCTCCTTCTCCTCCTCCTCCTTCTCCTCCTCCTTTACACTGGTCCTCCTCCTCCTCCTCCCCCTCCTCCTCCTCCTCCTCCTTCTCCTCCTCCCGGGTCTTCGCATGGCCGAAGGGGTCCCGAGGGGAACGGATCCTGGACCCCAGGGCTTTCCCCAGAAACCAGCTTTGAAAACCTGAGCCGTTTCTCAACGGTCTCGGGGCCCGGGGCCATGCTCGCTTGTCGACGGTCGTGGGGAGCCAAAAACTGATTTCATCATGATCCAGCCACAAAAAAAAAACTCACAACGAGCCAAACCAACAAACAAGCAAGAAACGGAAAAGCCGAAGATGACCGAACAGGACGGTACAAAGCACGACGCCGAACCGAACCGAAGCCGAAGGTTTACCATGGCCCAAATTGCGGATGAAAACGCACACGCACACACGCACACACACACACACACGGAGCCACGCCACCCCGCCCGTCTGCCCGTTCTGGGCCCCCTTACGCTCACCGAACCAACCCCTGGGGCGAGACTACCGCCCCGCCCGGGCCCCGCAACCCCGCAACAGACAGCCCCTTC